GTACCGAACTTTCGTCGCCTTGTCCAAATGACACTGAGGTTCGGTAGAATAGAGACTCAGCCGCCATGCACGACGCAGGAGCATCTGCTCGTGGCACTATCCATCGTCACCGTACCAGTCACTGGATATCCGAGAGGTCGGTTAACCTGTTGGAATCTAGTAGACACCTCCCGGCTGGCTCTGAACACAATGTGACCAGACGGTCTATTAGGCGTGAAGTAAAGCGGTGCCAAATTGCTGATAAGGATGCCTGGTGGACCAGTAGGGCTTAAGCAATGGTGGAAGGCAGGAGCAGTAGGCAATTACCGCAAGCTCTTCCAGCTGATTCGGACCACTGGTCCTACGAAACCAGGAGTCAGTGAGACAATCAGAGACTGCGTGGGTGCACTGGTACACAATAAGGGGCGCCGTATAGCTCGTTGGGCGGAACACTTTCGAGATCAGTTCAGCTAGCCCCGTGCTCCCAGATCTCTTCCTACTAAGGTGATGCAGAACGAGCCATGGACGGTTAGATTAGCTCCTCCGTCGGAGGCCTAAGTTAGAAACGGTATCACAGCCCTCAATCGCTTTCGTGCCGCTGGCCCGGATTCACTCCCATCTGCACTATTTAAGGATGGAGGCAAGATACTCTGCAAAGCACTGTCCTCCCTATTCAAACGTATATGGAAGGAAGAGAGGGTCCGGGCTACCTGGAGCGGATCGATTATACTGGCAGTATACAAGAAGGGCTGTCGCACAGACTGTCCTAACCACAAGTATTAGCCTAACGCCAGTTGTGACAAAATTACTGGTCTCGATTCTCGTTCGTCGCCTCACTGTGAAACAGGAATCTCGGAGTAGGGAAGAGCAGGCTGGTTTCCGCCCCAGGCGTGGCTGTATAGACCATTTATTCCGTTTGCGGCAGATGCTAGAGCAGTGCCACGAATGCCACAGACCGAATATAGCTGTGTCGCTTGATTTCAAGAGTGCGTTCCATTCGGTCGATCGATGCATTCTGTTCGAAATAGTTGTGCGGCAAGGTGTTCCCACGAAATATGTGCACATCCCACATACTCTATATTCGAGCACTACAGGCCGCCTCAGGGTCTACGGTAACCTGTCGAATAGCCTTCCGACCACAAGTAGCTTTCATCAAGGTTGTCCGATTTCCCCATTTTCGTTCAGTTTCGTCGTGGATACTATCACAAAGTCTTCCCTTGCAAAACCTCACAACGTAGGCGTTGAGGTCCTACCTCGTGGAAAATTAATTGATCTAGATTATGCGGACGATATCTTCTTAATTTTCGATGATGTTGCGGCCGCACAATCAACCCTGAATAGCCTGTCTAGAGTGGTCCCATTAGTTGGTATGCGCTTCGCATCTTCAAAGGGTAAAGTGTTGCTGCAGGACCACCAGCCACTTGATGACCACTTGACCCTTGATAACGAGGAACTCGAGGTGGTTGATCAATTCACTTACCTTGGCAGCTGCATCATCAACGATGAGTGCATAAAAACTGAAGTCAGTTCACTCATTGCAAAGGTTAGAACTGTCTTCTTGAAACTACGGCATCCTTGTTGACAAAAGGGAGTTTCCCTTCGTATGAAAGGCGGTGTCTCCAGGGCCACATTGAGGTCGGTCCCGTTGTATGGCAGTGAAACTTGGCCCCTTCGGTCTGAAGATCTAAACGCCTTCAAGTCTTTGATCAACGTTATTTGCGAAGCATTGCTGGTGTTGGATGGCATCAGGTCCGCAATGATGATGTGCGTAGACGAGCATTAGGTAGTGATAATCATGATAGCTCCCTAGAACAACAGATAGCACCGAATAAGTTGCGTCGGCTTGGGCATGTGCTACCTATGCATGGTCAATGCTTACCTAGGAGGGCCTTGTTTAGTCCGCTAGATGTAGGTTGGCGCAAAGCTCGTGGTAAACGGAAATTGACTTGGCAGCGGGAAATGAAGTCACTGACTACCAAACTGGGTGCCGTTGATCCGTCTAGCCTTCCGCGCTGGAGTCCACGTAACTAGCCTTGTGCTTGGCTCCAGACATTACAAGACATGGTTCGCAACCAACACCAGTGGCGCGTCTGCTACCGTCTCTTAGTCGGATTGCCTGTTTAAAGTGTGTTTGGTACTGAGATATGTACAGGGTATTGGCTGGTTATGACACGGAACATTAAGGCATTATGACATTAAGGTTTTCAGGTAAGTCCCCCTTCTCTCTCCTTTATTATTCTCTTATTCTATAGGTCATCATGGTTGTATGGCAGCGAAGCATCAGTTCTAATGGCTGATGTACTGCTGTTGTTGATGTTTGCTTGATATCCACCATTGCCATCCTGTTCCGGTAGCTCACATACATCTTGAGCACTTTCGACACTGATGGGTCCATTTTGCTTTTTAAGTTCTATAAAACCCATTAGAGAGTTAAAAGGCAGTGTAACCAGTATTAGCTTACTGTCTGTGGTGACGAACTTGTTGGCTTTAACTCGCGTTCGTCGCCCCACTGCAGAACGGGAATTCCGGATTAGGAAAGTGAAAATAGGCTTTTGTCCAAAACGGAGCTGTTTAGACCACAGATAGTAGAACAGTGCCAGACTTGCATTATACAAACAATAGCCGTTCTTCAATTGCAACAGTGTACTCGACTCAGTCGATCAATGTTGGGGTGACCCAATGAACACTAAATAACCTCACTAGTGTTGTACCATCATTTGGCATGTGCTTCGCATCTTCAACATGCTAAGTGTTACTGCAGTACTATCCACCACTTACTGATCCCTTGAGAGTTGATAGCGAGGAACTCGAGGTGGTTGATCAATTGATCACTTACCCGGCTGCTACATTAGCAACGATGGACGCATAATCCCAGAAATTGTTTCGCGCATTCCAACAGCTAGAACTACCTTCGCAAATCTGCTACATCTGTGGTCTCAACAAGAGGTTCCTTCAATACGAAAGGCCGTGTTTACAATGCTACAACGAGGGCCGTCCTAATCTATGGGAGTGATACTTGTCTCCCTTGATCGGAGGGACTGCGATGCGTTCAAGCCTTTGATCATCGCGGCTTGCGAAGTAGTACTGTTTTCGGATGCCACCAGCGTGACCAAAACGATGATGCGAGTGGGGGACTGTTAAGCATGGATTATTAGGCTAGTTTCTTAGAATATCCGAATCTGTCTCGCCGATGAGGATTTATCTTTGCGTTTGTGACGGAATGTTGTTACTACAAGGTATAGGCGCCTTGTACCTGATTGTTTCCTTATAGTTCCGATGTTCCAACCTAGGTCCACTTCTCTCCCATTTATTCCGCAGGTCGCTGTGTTTGTATGACAGCGAATCATCAGTTCAAAAGACTGATGAGCTGAAGCTGATGATAATAATAATGACAATATTAGTAATAATATGCCGCCACCTGATGAGCACCTCTATTCTTGGTTCTTTTCCCCTCCTTTCATACTTTACCAATCAGTGCATATTGTTTGCCAGCTTTGCGCAACTTTCATTTAACGTTGCCTCGGTGCTCTAGGTAAAATATGAAACTGCAGGATCATCTTATGGTATTTTCTCCTCGTTTGATTTTGCTTTACAAGACAGTAAATAAATGCTACTGACACTGATTTTCATTTTTATGAAGTATCCAACTGGGCGTCATCTGGAATACTATAACATTAGCCTATTGTCCTCAAAGTTTAGCGAGTTGGAAAAAAGCTACGAGCATCTTGCTTGTTCCAAAATGCCTGCGTTCATTATCTAAGATTACAGTAGACTGACACTAGCGTGTCTATAACTTATTTCTTAAAGAGAACTGGCCCGTGAAAATTTATATGCTTTTTTGTGGACACAACTGTAATTATTCCGAGAAATATACATTATAAAATTTCAGTCATGGTGAACGAAACAGAGCTGTTGTTCTGAACTGGAATAATTCAGTAATTGTGCATGAAACAGGATGAAAAACGATTTCGCCTAGTAACCTCTGACCATGTGCATTCCGACACGTTTGCAGAATTGCTGAATCGCTAAGAGCAGGAGTACCAATATTTTGTTAGATCGATTTCTGTAACAAAAGCATTCATCCCCAAAGGCAGCCTAACTCCTCAAACGCAATTTTATCCACTGGATAGGCGTGAGAAATAACTGTTTCGATCAAGTCATTACACTGAGACAGGTAGCCTCTGGATTCACCTGGACAGCCATCATCAAAGTGAGGATGTCGCGGAACAGTATTTACGGAAAGTAACTATCACCACTGGTCCACATGGAGAGTCGCATTAACTGTAAATGAGTAGATATCCTTTCCAGTACCCCGTACATGTTGCCGTTTTGTAAGTGTTAACGAGGCTGTTGGAACCCGAGTTAGAAGCGATTAGTTAGCGTGTCAAACCTAGCTAAGAGTAGGTGCACCGCTTCCGACAAACGAGACATTCACTAATGTTCGTCATCCCTATTGGAAGCTGCATGGCGGGGGTTTCCTTCTGTGTCCAGGGTTTGTGCGGTGTGCATTGATTGTGCTTTCATTCCTAGAGCGCAAACAACTGTGGTTCTAATGCGTACTTCTCTTTGGGGGTGATCACGGCCTGCTGTTGGCTGGTTGCCGTTTCGCATTTTGGCCGTTACACACTGCTGATAAATGGTACAGTAGTGTCTGCCTTTAGTTCTCCACAAACCACCATAGTCTCCACTCATCCAATGGTATTTTGAGCAGGTTCGATCCAACGCTGATTACAAAAATTAACACATGACTTATAATATGTCAAGGATTTTCGCAGACAAACTCCGTTGGTATATGTCTAATCCATTCGAGTGTTAGTTTTTCCATTGCTGAGGACTATCTTACTTTCAACCGAATGGGTGGGTGAAAATGAATTTCCGACATTACTTCACTTATGAATGCGTCAAACCGCCGTGCACTTCTCTCAAATCTCAGTGATTTCAGGATGGTTAAGGTTGTTCGGGTGCCTGGAGGATTAACAAATTAGACATAACAGAAAGCATTTGCAAAATGATTTACTCACCAATAGCCACTTCTATCAGCCCCATGCAGAACATTGGAGCCAGATCGTAAATTAAGCGTTTCGCTCTGCGTATACGCCGTATCAGATCCAGGACAAATACACTGATACAGCACACCAGATCGAACGGCCATACGATCTGATACTCCATCCACAAAGACCTTGTCTTCACTAGAAATGGAACAATGGTGTATTACGGATAAGAAAGCAATGCTTAACTGGTCCTACGCGACGGAAACTATTGAGAACATAAAACTTCTTGATAATGGAGAGGCATTTCGGTGGACTCACCATAGACTTTCGTACAAGAACCGTTATGTTCACTTGATTAGGGAACTGAGAACTGAGAACTGGTGGGAAGCAGCGAGTAGAGGTTGCTCTGTGTAGCTGCATCATTCGTCGTTTTAGGACATGAACTCTTTATTTATCGTTTCGCTCTCTGTACTTTGCCTCTGCAAATTGTCGGTCTAGTAGCATCTTGAATTTAGACACTGTGTTAGCTTCTACTGGATGCTGAGGCAGGTCGTTCCAGACATTCACCACTCTGCGTTCGAAACAGAGTTGATGGGCGACCCGCTTCAAATCCGGGACGATAAGTTTATACCGGTGTCCTCGCATGCAGCTTGATGTGCGCAGATGAAGTAGTTGTCTCAACATGGGGTAATCACCCAGATGTAATATCCGGTGCGTCATGATGAGGTCAACTCTCAGCCGACGATAAGATAGGGTGTATAACCCTAGTTTCTTACATCGGTCTTCGTATGGCATACCTCGTAAGTTTGGAATCAGCCTGGTGGCTACATGCTGCACCCGCTCAAGCTTTTCTACTTCGCCCCGGGTGATGGGACTGTATGCGGGAGTGCCGTACTCCAGCATTGGTCGTATTATCGAGACAAATAGGCGAGTGGCATTTTGGAAAAATAGTTTGGTTGCGCTATACAATCCCCTGGATAACAGCGGATAAAACAAATGTGAAGGGATCGATATCACTATCGAAAACTGCAGATGTGTGTAACGTTTCTATCATATTGCTTTCACACTACTAACAAATATATGAATAGCAAGTTTTAATTAGTAAGGTTCTCCAGCGCTTTTATTGGATGTGAGCTGGTTTGTAACAGGGATGTATACTGGTTACGGTAACCTTACTATGGCTTCAAATACCGCTGCTACGCATACGCTCGTTGAGTCCACCAGTGGTCCTGCCACACTCGAGGGAAACACGGTTAGCGCTGCTAGTCAGTTTGGTGAGGGTGTGATGATACGCCTGCATAGCAACGCGGTTCGAAAGAATCTCCTGGTCATACTACAGTGTTCGAACGTCGAAAGTGCATTCATCCGGAAGGAAGACATTGATAAAGTATCAGGGCCACCGGAAAGGCTTTGCCCGACATCCTAAAGAAGGCAAAAGACGAAGACAATCGCATCACACACTGCGGGGCGTATTTCAATGTTGGTAGGCTGAGGACCGTTCAGATTTACCAGGTTCCACATGTTGCATAACCACTAACTGTTATAATGGCGTCGCCACTGTTGTAATTGAGGGAACGCCGCCTCTGAGATAATTGCGTAATTGCGTGATAAAATTATCGCTGGTCCGGTTGGAGCACGCCTACGATGACGACTTGTAACGCTGGCCACTCGAACGGAGTTGTGCTGTCCTGAGGACGCTACCTTAGCCGGTGAGGCGAATAAGTGAGCGAGCTTGTGTACAACCCTAGCCGCAAGTGTTCGGATAGACGCCGAGCCTCGGAACGGACGCAGATGAGAGGGGGGTTTACGATAGACGCGCGCTAATGACTTAGACGCGAAGGCTGGCCAGCTAACGACTCACACGCAATCACGTGACCCGACCGACTCCCAACTGAGGCGAAGAGAATGAAAGGGCAAGTGGTCCTCTGTAGGCTCTTTTACGACCGAGAAAGGGCGATCACAGACAGTGCTATGGGTTAGTAAGTTAAGGAAAACTGTCACAACGAAGAGGTGGTAGTTTGTAAATGACCATTGTCAGAAGATGCGCAGTTTGGGCCGCGTTTCGGAGTGGCTGAGCTCTGCTGCGTTGTGGGTAGGAATTGAACCTTGCTTTCCACAGCCATTCTGCTGGGGTTTCTGGCGTGTTTTTGCGGGAATATTTGACGTGCCCACAACACTAACTTTGGGAGACGAAGCATTAAACTGATCCAGTAGAAACCGTCGATTAGCGGCAGAAGAGCTGGAGATAATCAGGCCAATGCATAAATGCCGAAGCCGATGTTTCAACATCTGCTTCTACTTCCGATCGAAGTTCGGAAAATACTTGACAAACGTCGACCTCGACAACCTTCAAGAGAGCCACATGTTCGGGCGCAACATGCCAGGTAACGTGATTTTTTATTTTGTAACCTGAAATGCACTGTTATACGACAAATACAGGACATGGAATCACAGTTTAACCAGCGAGGGCGAGCCTGGTGTTTGCGCGAAGAAAACAATCTGATTACACAATTCGTCTGCTCCACACACGAGATGTTGGAACTGTACTCCCGGTTTCCCGACTTTTGGCTTATTGATAGCACCTTCTCCATTAACAAACAGAGCTATTTTTCTACCAACTGCTTATAGTCAATGGCTGTAGAAAAAGCCTACCGGTTGCTATTGCTTTTCTCTGGCGGGAGACGGAGACTGACGTCAGGGCTTGCCTCCTCACGTTTATGGATTTTGTAGGTGGTGCTTCTGGCGTTAAGTGCATACCCGATAGTACACTGGCCATTGCAAACGCTGGACTTAACGTCTTTTTCTCGCACATCATTTGTTATGTCGCAAGCATATAATTGGCAATGTAATCAAACGTTTTTCGCGATCCACTTCATTCAGATGTTTGTTCATCGCGATGTACACGTGCAACTTTTGGAAACAGTTAGCTAATTTGGTACTCATTCGTATTAATGAGCAACCTTTCTTCCACTATATCAGTTCCTTCATTCTGCCCAACTCCTGCAGATGGGCCATCAGCAGGATGCCTGGTGCTGCAACATATGGCAAACACAACACGAATATGGTGGAGTCAATACATTACTGCTTAAAGATGGAACCGCTGAATGGGCGAATTGGATTTTGGGAAGCCATAGGAGTGTCACGGATGAGCGAGACGTATTTGATAGGGAACCGACAGAAAGCGATCTCGGATGCATCTCGTTGCGACCTGCGTAGTGTCGGTCATCCGGAGTTGGACCTCTCGTGCCGCCTATTGATGCCGTACACTATTTTTGTGATTGCGTCTGACTTCAGTTCAAGGTATCCGGTTGTGGTTCTCAGCATCAGTGAGCATGCAACTGCTTGCAGAGAGCGTCGATTGGAGAAGGTGAAGCATGACAGCAGGACGTGCACATGCAAAATTAACGTGGGATTTGAACTTCCATGCAGACACCTGCTGCAGTTCGTACAGCTTAACAGCGTGGATGTCAATGAACTACCGGTCAGCCGACGGTGGACAAGAGCGAATAATGGAGCACTTGCCGTTTCAATCGCGCCATTGGACGCGCCAATAATCGGAAGGCAAGATCCGAGCGCCATTTTGGATATGGCTTTGAACAACCTACGTGCACTGTATCAGCGACTGCAGCCAGCGCACTTCGCTTTGTATACTGCGTGGCAGTGTAATTTTGTTCAACAAGCCAGCCCGCAAGAAATGCCTCCGTTTACCTTCCCCCCTCCAGTGCACCTGGCCAAGAACAAAAACATTGCCGATTCCAACCAGCTGCCGGAGTCCACATTTCTGCACTTGAACGCTGCAGCTCTAAATCTTTCGGCATTGCCGGAGGGGCTTGTCACATCGGCCACCGATAACGCGGGTTTCATTGACGAATGGAATGTGGCAATAGCAAGTTCGGATGAACGAGGCAGTATACCTACTGTTCTAGCTGGTGCACAGCCGACGGCGGCTGGTTACAACGCAAGACATGAACCCCGGAACGCAATAGCTTGGGAACAAACCAACCAAGTGAGCTTGCAAGATTTGGTGATCGCTGAAAGTATATCCGCAAAATGCAGCTTACAATATCCGGAAGACAAAGAGGGGCAAACAATACACTGGGTTCAATGCCCGTATTGTGCACGTCGGTATCATCGAATCTGTCTTCTGCAGCTCCCATAATAATTGTTTGCTGGTGCTTTGTCTGCCAACAGATATTTGAAGGACAGTGCGCAGTCAATTGGTGGTCTTTTGCATGCCCGAAGTGTCAACTTATGTTTCCTGTTCTGCTTAGCTGCATGTACGCTAATGATATTGTTAAATATCCGCCACTAGACTAATACTTGCATTGCCATGTAACAATGAACGCGGATGTAATTTCTTTTTCCGTTTACGTCCACCACGAACCCCTCGGCAGCGTGGTGGGGTGGTGTAACCAGTTGTTAACTGGACGAACATGTCTCCAGTTGCGTTCATATGGGTGAATAATGCTAGATAATAATCCATATGTGATTTGTCTATCCTTCCAGGGTATCAACGAATGGGATGAAAGGAAGTATGAAGACAAAATCCCCGGTGTGCATTGTGCAACGAATGGAACGCTTATGGTGAACCTGTACGTTTCTCCATACTATCGTCTTGTGCAATAATAATAATACAAATAATACATCTTGTAAATAAATAAATAAATAAATGGTTTATTCTCGAATTTATCTAGGCACCTCAGATCAGGCATAATCAACACTTACAGGCAGTTATGTTTCGCAACAGACACGTTGCTATGTAGGTAATCGGCAGTGACCGAAAGATGTACTGGCTGTGGAGATTGAGGAAGTAATCATGAGAAATGAAGTCGTCAATGGATGACGATACTTCGGATTCTAGTGCGCATCGTGCAAACAGTCAAGGCACAATAACTAAGGAAAACAGTATATGTAGACAGAGAGTACCTTATTCTTCTACGTGCCAAGAAGATATTGAAATATGACTCTTGTCGACTTGCCAGTATGTATTTCTGGGCAGTGACTTGATTCAGTGGCGAGTCACATCCGCGGTGGTCGACGCGAAATCCTCAACATCGACCATCTAAAGACCGCCTTTACGGAATAAACCACTTCGCGTACCTCGTCTAGGGGTACTTCGTGCGACGTCACAACTCACCGCACCGACCTTCAGCCTCCTAGTATAGTTCAACCAGACCACGATCCCGGTCTATAAGCTT